ACATGTGTTTATATTTTCATATTTCAAATAATTATCAAAATTAATATATTAAATGTAATGGTATTGTATTTGAGTAAAAGTGGACCAAATTGAATACCAATATTCCACCTGAATTTGATCACCCACAGTTGACTAGGATTATTAATATATGGAGTTGAAAACAAAATAAACGACTTACTGTCATCCTTGTAAACTATCCATGACTTCAAGTAACCTTCTGGAAACTTCCATCCACACAATCCATCATCAAAAGAACAGGATAACGAATGTGCACCTATGAATGCATTAATAAATATTTGAAACGCGTTAGTTAATTATTAAAACTTGCATTTTCATATACACAACTTTCAAAATGTCGGCATCTCATTAGCATATTTTATGTTCTTTATTCCCCCCCTCCCCAAAAAAACTACTCGAGCTCACAACATGGCGGTCTCTTTACTCTCCCCCACTCCTGTCACGTGAGCTCTCTCGGGGAGTTATATGCAAATATATACTACACTCCTCCCTCCTAGATGAAGAACCGAATAAATAAATTGAAAATTCAATGCCTTTTTAAATAGGCAGTTCTATATGTTCAAGCTATCAGGGGGCTTTTTACGTCAAAAAAACCAATGCTTCCATAGACTGTTATTTTAAAATCTTTGCTACTGGGCTAAGTCAATTCTTGTCGCTTGTTTGTTTTTTATCATTATTATTTGTTTGCAAAATAAACACTACTCGAGATCACAACATTGCGGTCCTCTCTCTTTCCCCCACACCTGTTACGTGAACTCTCTGACGGTGTTGTAATATGCAAATATACTGCACCATAAAGATCTAAAATGCATAGAATATAATGTTTGGTAAAATTGAAAAAACATATATAAAATCCCTTAAGAACTATAAGACTTTTAGGTAAATTGGCTGCTATGTATGAGGCGACGATCCAGTCAATATTCTCATCATTTATTTCATGGCTTATTGTATTTTTATGAATTTGCTTTTATGGTGATTATATTCAATTTTTGGTGGGACTGAATTTGCTTTTGAAGCTTTTGAAGAATGATGAGAATATTGACTGGATCGGCGCCCCATATCTATGCATTTCCAATTTCATTCCTACGTTCATTGATCATTTTAAAGTGCTAGCTCTTTCAGTTTTTGTAGGCAGGTCTAGTTAGATTTAAAATCTTCAATTATCATAAAAGAGGTACTATACACTGGAATGGGAAGTCATCGTTCAAAAAAATGATAGTAATTTGAGAATCTTTAGAAATGATTCCTAGATGTTCAGTGAATGTCAAACTAGTCTGTCAAAAGTAAAAATGAAATAAAATATGTCGCCTTTTGAAGATCAAATGAATTTTTTAAAGCTGTCCGACATTTTACGATTTATAGCAATCATCATTTTCTTCTTTCTTCTTCTTATTTTTAGGCTACGTTCATAATGTATGGCGGAGGGGGGCAGGTGAAAATTTGAAATGTCCAGAATAATCCCCCCCCCCTTAAAGTCATGCAATACCCCCTAAGCAAGGCTTGTAGCTTCTTCCAAAAATTGTGAATACCCCCCCCCCCATTTTTCTGATAAAAGTTGTCCCATGCCCTCCCTTTTTCTTACCAACATTTTCTCAATTCCCCCTCAATTTCTCCTGCCCCCCCTGCCATACATTATGAACGCAGCCTTATCGAGAGAGTACTATTGTTGCCATCTGTCCGAGAAACTCGACGATCTTCATAAAATAGAAAAGAAAACTTTGGTTTTAATTAGCAAAGCGTGCGCAGAGAATACTCCTAGTTCAAATCATAACCAAACGATCAAAATGAAAAGAAAAATGATTTTCAGTTCTTGCCCTTTTTTCACAGCTGCCAGTCGCTATGAGGTGTTTTATATTTGCAATATAGTAGCTTATTAAAGTTAACATCTTACCTTCCTTCAAGTAAAATATGAAAACGCAAAACTTTACGATGATGGAGTATATCTCGAACATTGTTCTTGCCAAAACTTATACAACAAGTTAAGACTACGCCGCCAGAACTGCCACTATGATTTTTCTGAAATTATCACCTCTCTTAATAAAACATCTTTGACAGTTTGACATCGACAGGGCTGAATTTCTTATTAATTAATACGATAAATTATTTTTTTTTTCCAGTTTGTGATGTCTACTTACTTGGAGTTTTTAATTAAAAACGTTTTGATTAAAAAAAGAGGAGAAATAGTACTTCTAAGGATCGATTGAACAATGTTGACATGGCTCCAAAATCGAAGATTAATTTTAATTTTCTAATTTGTTTAATTATTATTTTTTTCCCTTGTATGCTTCTGTTCTGTTCTGTTCTGTTCTTTTATCTTCTTCTGTTCTGTTCTGTTTTGTTCTGTTCTCCTTTAATAAAGCAATTCTTTTTTTGTTTAGTTTATTAAGGCGATCCTCCCACTGTGAGGCAAGCCATTGGGAGACTTTTTCATTGCAGCACTCTAAAAACCTACACTTCTTATTAGAATACTAATTAGAAATCCGCTTTAATGGAAAAAGATATTGTTTGCTAGTGGCTGTCTGTTCCTTCTTAAACTTAGTCTCGAACTTTTATAAAGATATTATCAGAGTTTGAACGAAATTTTATATCTATGATAAAGGGTTGCATCGTGTCAAAGAAATATCTTTCAAAGTACGCGCTTAGAAGAAGGTGCTGCCTTTGTAATTACATCTGCAAATGGTTAGACCTTCAGGTGGCTCGGATGATCACTTTAAATGGCGCTCCCGTCTCTCCACACTTCATCATTACTAACCAATATCGGAGGGGTGTAAAAGAACCACTGAAGACGTAATGAAACCCTGGCAGTGACCTACATTTCATACTAACCATCTCTTATGCTTGTAAATTGCATAAAAGCAATCCGTCATTCACAACTCAATGTAGAGCGCCTTTGACTATATCCATATAGAAAGGGCGCTATATAAATTATTTAATCTTTTATCTTCTGGCGTCATTTATTAAATTCGTCAATCTCGAAGATTTCCTCATATTTACCGTTGCATAAAGTTGAGCTGTATTAAATCGACCTCTATTAAGTGGCCAACCCCTATTAAGTGGCCAACTTCTATAAAGTGGTCAATCTCTATAAAGTGGTCAACCTCTATTAAGTGGTCAACCTCTATTAAGTGGCCAACCTCTATTAAGCGGCCAGCCTCTATTAAGTGGCCATCCTCTATTAAGTGACCAGCTTCTATTAAGTGGCCAACCTCTATTAAGTGGTCAACCTATATTAAGTGACCAACCTCTATAAAGTGGCCAACCTCTATTAAGTGGTCAACCTCTATTAAGTGACCAGCTTCTATTAAGTGGCCAACCTCTATTAAGTGGCCAACCTCTATTACGTGACCAACCTCTATTAAGTGGCCAACCTCTATTAAGTGGTCAACCTCTATTAAGTGGCCAACCTCTATTAAGTGGTCAACCTCTATTAAGTGACCAACCTCTATTAAGTGACCAACCTCTATTAAGTGACCAACCTCTAATAAGTGGCCAACCTCTATTAAGTGGCCAGCCTCTATTAAGTGGTCAACCTCTATTAAGTGGCCAACCTCTATTAAGTGGTCAACATCTATTAAGTGACCAACCTCTATTAAGTGGTCAACCTCTATTAAGTGGTCAACCTCTATTAAGTGGCCAACCTCTATTAAGTGGTCAACATCTATTAAGTGACCAACCTCTATTAAGTGACCAACCTCTATTAAGTGACCAACCTCTATTAAGTGGCCAACCTCTATTAAGTGGCCAACCTCTATTAAGTGGCCAACCTCTATTAAGCGGACACATCTATTAAGTGGTCAACCTTTATTAAGCAGGCATTTGGCTATTTCCCGCGGTTGACCGTTTAACAGAGATTTGGCTGTATTAAGATTAACGAATCCAGAAATTAATATTTATTTTGCAGAATCGGTAATGACTGTTCCTGTTTCTCTCACTGCTGGCCTAGCAGAATAGCAAGCAAAAGTATTGTAGTCAAGGCAATTGTACCAAAGGGTTTACAAAAGGTAGCTCCACTTGTAATTGTGATGTCCACTCCGCCAGGGCAAAACGGGTTGTAGTTCCCAAACAAAAAGTCATTGAAAATTTTAATTTCACCAGTGTAATTACATTTAGTATCGACAAGCTGCTTTTGGCATTTTTTTGTTTTGGCGAATTCTCTGAAAGAGAAAAGAAGTTGTTTGAGATAACTAAGGTATATTTTCTTAGTCAAATCCAACTCGTGGTCTATCATCAATGCTGCATTCTGATTGGATGAACTACTACTAGGTTATAAGTTATATCATACTTATAACGAAAAGTGCCGGCTTTCAAAACCAAAAAAATATTTGCATCTATATATTTGACCAACTTGTTGGATTTTACTAAAGCAATTAAAAAAAAAATCACTTTATTTAAGTGTCTAGTCGTTCTAGCGCTTTCGCACTAATTGGGGACACTTTTCGCTCACACGCACTACCACTACATTTAATATTCTATGCACACAACGCTCATCTCACATGTCGATTTTTACGGAGGGAGGAAACCAGAGAAAACCCTCGTAGCATAGGGGAAAACAACACATCAAACAAACTCAATTAATATGTATCGACCGCAGGGCTCGAACCAGCGACCCGAGCCGTTGGACTTACAGCGGTGAAAGACGACGCGTTAGCCGCGAACGCCACCCATGCTACCCATGCTAGTCCTCTCGCCCTCATGGCCTTTGAATCAAAAGCCTATTCGTGCTCGATGACTAATGGATAAATATTGCTTTCTGCCCGGTGTTCTAAAAATCTAAAAAAAGTTATTTACCTCGGTGGTCCTAAAGTCGGTCTGGATAGGGAAAAACTGTGCCCTCTGTCTTTAAAACAAAACTTGGCGTAACGGCCTCGGTTCGTATATTCAAGGTCCTGGGCATAGTTTTTACTTTTCGGATCTTCTGGCCGACAAATAACTTCGGATTTAGACAGTCAACAATAACAACAACGACGACGACGACAACAACAACAACAACAAAATAATGTATATGAGGACTTTTACTCGACTAACCTACAGATCCTTGGGTCAACAGTGTCGTTTTTCCACATTGCCTGCATCTTAGAATTGCACTTTTTTAATTCTTCCACGTACTTGTCCTTTGAAATGGAACAAGGATGTATCTGGTAGATTGGCTTTTCAAGGAGCCGAGCCGTTTCACGCAACTCTTTCACATTCTTCTCATTTAAAAAGGAACTGTAGGGGTATTCAATATGTTCTAAATATTGGAAACGCTTTGCTGCTCTCCAAAGGTTCACCTTACATTTCAATTCTCGTTCAATCAAAGAACTGAAAAAGGAAATAAAAATTTCCATGAACTTATCGAAAGATTTGAAGAAAAAAAGAACAGGTATCATCTACATATCCATCCATGCATCCATGCATCCATGCATCCATCCACGTCCGTTTGGTCGCTTGCCCGTTCGTTTGCTCTTTTGTTCGTTGGTTGGTCGGTCAGT